GCCCGTAGGCACCTCGGAAGTGCTAGAGGGGCAAAGAGACGATGGAGAGATTGCAAGGGGGCCATAGGAGAGAAGCGGCGAAAGTATGAGGAGGGAAAGGTAATTACGTTACCGAACCCAAATAGTGATGCCCGCTTTGGTTTGTTTGTAGAGGGTGTAGTGAGAAAAACCAAGTGCCAATTTTTGGTTGACACTGGTGCCACAGATACATTAATTAGTAGCACAGTGTATTATGAGATACCCAAGGAACAGAGACCAGTCTTAGAGTCAGACAATGTGAAAGTGAGACAGGTGGATGGACGTTCCCTGTCGGTGTTAGGAGTCGCCTGGGTCGAAGTTCAAGTTGGACGAACAACGCACCCAATCAGGGCGATTTTTACACAGATGAAGTATCCCGGAATTCTGGGGATGGATTTCTTGTTGCCCACAGGGGGTAACTTGGATTTCCACACCAAAGAGTGGAGAATAAATGGCGAGAGAATTAAATGCACTAGTAGTGCTGGAGAGCCATTTGTTGGTCGAGAGGAAGTGACGTCACAAGAGGACAAGACATTGGTTAGAGGTATAGAGGCCAAACCAAGTGTCCCACTAGAGGCTGTAAGGAAAGCCCAGTTAGAAGATGAGACGATACGTTGGGCCTTAGAGGCCAAGGAAGAGAGCAAAGATCGTCCGGAGTGGGTAGAGATTTCCCACTTGACGGCGGCCCATAAGACGTATTGGTCCTACTGGGACCAGTTGAGTGTGAGAGAGAAGGTGTTGCATAAAAGGTGGGAGTCTGATGACGGTAGAGTCGTGATATGGTTACTAGTGTTGCCACAGAGTTTGAGGAAAGAAACCCTGAGGGAGGTGCACGGTGGACTGCTTAGTAGTCATTTGGGCATAAAGAAAACCCTTGCCAAAGTAAAGAGAAGATATTTTTGGCCAGGTATGTCCGCAGATGTTCGCTCCTTCATAAGGGGTTGTGACCTCTGTGCAAGAAGAAAGTCCCCTGCGAAGAAAGGGATTGCACCCTTGCAACAATATAGAGTGGGAGTGCCTGTAGAGAGAGTGGCCATAGATTTGCTCGGGCCACTACCCAAAACGGAGATTGGGAACCAGTGGATTCTCGTAGTGGGTGATTACTGTACAAAATGGATGGAGGCCTATCCATTGCCTGACGCAACGGCGGGTACAGTAGCACTCAAACTGGTGCAAGAGTTCGTGTGTAGATTTGGAGTACCACAAGAACTCCATTCTGATCAGGGCACCAATTTTGAGTCAGAAGTCTTCACAGAAATGTGCAAGGTCTTAGGAATCACAAAGACAAGAACGACAGCATACAATCCTAAATCGGATGGTATGGTCGAACGGTTTAATAAGACACTAGTAAACATGGTGGCTGTGCTGATTGACCCACAGAAGAGGCATAGAGACTGTGATAGATTCCTCCCTTATGCAACATTTGCGTATAGATGCACCCCACAAGACTCCACAGGGGAGTCCCCCAATATAATGATGTTGGGGCGAGAAGTCAGTATACCAGTTGACCTGGTCACCGGTAGTCCAGAGACAGGGTTTGACACTCGGACAGACTTTGCAGAAGAGTTGCGAAGAAATTTGCAGAGTGCACATCAGAGGGCTAGAGACTGTCTAGGGAAAAACTCCCAAAGACAGAAGAGAAACTATGACAGAAGAGCCACCCATAAAGGGTTGAAAGAAGGAGAGTTTGCCTGGCTACACAACCCGGCTAAGAAGAAACAGTTGTCCCCTAAACTGCAGTTGAGATGGGAGGGACCGTGGCTGATAGTTAGGAGATTGTCAGATGTGACCTTCCGAATACAGATACGGAAAGGGGGAAAAATGAAAGTGGTGCATTCTGACAGACTGAAGCCATACCAGGGTGAGAAACTGGTACCCTGGAGTCACTCTCCAAAAGCATGTGAAGAAGCTCCTCAGATTGATAGAGCAGGAGAAAACCCTCGAGTCGAAGTGACAGAAGAGACTCCTCATGTTGAGGAAACAGAGAAAACAGAGCAAACAGAGCAAGAAGAACCGGAAATAGAAGCTCCGGTAGAAAATGGGGATGTTCAGATAGAGGTTGACCCCATCAGAGTGCCAGAGAGGACCAGTATGTCTCGGAGGAACCTGAGGAGAGAGCACCGCCTGCCTGTAAGATACCGATAGAGTGGCAGACTTTGATCTATGCCACTCCTAGAAGAGATGACCCCCTCCCCCTCCCGAAGTGGTCGTGACTCACCCCCGTTGAAGATGAGGAGACTCGTCACAATCCGAGTAAGGACGACCACCGAAGTGATCTACCGCAACAGGGTCGTTAAGAGAAACGACGAGGTCACCGAGCATCTGCGAGAGACAGAGCTGGACACTGCACTGGATGATCCTCAGGAGGACGGGACCCAACTAGCAAGTCCTTAGGGCCAGTTAAAGTTTATCTAGTGCTAGTAGTTGTTTTTAGTTTTAACAGTTAAAAGAAGTTTTGTCGGTGCTATTTAGTGTGTAAAAGAGAAGTTATTTTTTATCTTTACAGTTTTAAAATCAGTGATTATTGCCTTCATCTTGTTTGAAAAGAAATCCGTCCATTGGTTAAAATGATTCCCAGTTAATTTTGGATACTATTCGAGTTTAAGTGTGATTTTCCATCTGTCTTATTCCTAAAATTATCTGCATAAATTGTAATCTGTTGATGCAAAACATTTCCTTGTATAAAAAGAAAAACAATCAGGAAAAGTGCTTTTATCTTTGCCGAGGATTCATGATTTCTAAATAAATTGTGTGGTTCAAATTCATTGTAAGGAAAACTTTACCATGTATAAGCTAAGTTTTGTATAAAGAAAAACAAAGACTTAGTTTTGTGTAAAGGGAAAACATAAGATTAATGCTGTATAAAGGGAAAACGTAAGCTTCATTCTGTGCCAAAGAAACACATAGTTTGGTTTTTGTGTAACTGAAAAACATCAGTTTAGTTTTGTATAAAGAGAAATCATAAGTTTAGTTTTCTATAACGAAAACATAAGAGTGAATTTTACGTGAAGTTTAAAAAGCTTGTGCATATTTAATTAGCAAGACTGGTGCCGGTCACCCATCTCGTGACTGGGTTCGAGCTGGTTTGGACTGGGACAGTCCAAGCTCTGCTCGGGCCTGTGTGGCGTGATGGGGTGGGCCGACACCAGTCTAATTCCCCTTATTTGGTAGTGTTTACTTGTAATTTCTTGGCAAGGAAGTCAGGTCGTGTCAGCGGACAATGTCTCGTGGTTTTGGCGGGAGTGGCCGCCAATCGGAGCGCGCTCGCTGTTGCTGGGCGGGGCGAGGCAGGCCGTGACCGCACTTGCGATCTGTGTTTCCCGTATCCGCGTATGCGTGATTGGTGTTACCGGCAGAGGTGAAGGGTTGGCGGCCAATCACGGCGTGATTGGGCGTGGCCCCGCTACCCTTGCCGTGGTACTTGAGCGCATGGTCGGCCGGGCGTGAATCAGTTCAGTTGAGTTCAGTTGAGTCAGTTGCGTAAGTTGTTCCTCAGTTCTGTGTATGGAGCGGGTTCAGTAGTAGTGTACGAGTGAAATTGCCATTGTCCGTGACGAAGCTAGCGTTTGCTTTGGCGAGGCCGTGTGTGGTGCAGTGTACCGGTGTTGACGCTGTTTCGGCCTGACTTCTCGTACCGTGGTTGAACGATTGTACGGAGCGCAGAGCCCCGTGGTGTGACCCAGTTAGCTTGGTAGGACCGAATTGCTTTATCGTGTAATTTAGTGCATTTTTGTGCGATTGTTGCAGTTGAGTGTTTGACTTACAGAGTAGGGTGACTAAGTACAGGCATAAGGATTGTTGTCGTGGGTTCACAGAGACGTGCGATAACATAGAGGGTCGACCCAGAGGTTGAGGCCTGGGAGGAATAGTCACAGGTAGTCAATAACTGTACTCGGTCAAGTTTATTGTCACACGGGTTTTGTCGTATACTGATCAGCTAAGGCGCTCAAACTTATATAATCATCACAATCCAACGATAATAACCTTATAAATCAAGGAGTTCCCAATCAAGTCAGAATTGTCCGTGATTAAATAAACCAATCATTTCCTTTCCACAAAGAGAATTGTGTATCCCAGTGTCCAATATTTCTGCAGTTTCTTCGTCTGTTTGTTCTGTTCTGTACTAGAGTAACAGGGCCTGGTAATCAGTATCCAACTGGGCGGTATATTTCCACCAAAACGAGCTTGCATCCCTGGGCCTAGAGGCTGCTCGAAACTTCCCTAGGTTCGAGGCAGAAAACATAGTTTGGGGTTAGGGGAACTTTCACCTCAGTCGGTGATTGCCTTCCCTGACCTCTGGTTTCAATTGATCTCGGGAGATTCCGCCACACCGGGTACGTTATCGAGTTGTCTGCTTCGCTAGTCAGACAATAATAATGGGATATCATCAAACAACAGGCGGCGCCCTTCAAATTAACGGTGTCAAGTGACAATCTCATAACCCATTAATTCCCCGCATTAACTAAACAAAAATAAAAATGGATAACGAAACCATTTCCCAATTCCTAAGCAAAAAGAAAAAAGGATAACGAAACCCACTTCCCCAATTCATAATTCCTATCTGCTTTTGCAAATGTACTCTTCAAATGCTCTGCCTACTATAAATTGACTTACAAATGAAAAAGAAAAACAAATTGCACTGATTTGAAATTGCGTCCAATAATTGGTAAGATTTGAGGCTTTGCATGGTGGAGATACTAAATAATGAAAGGGTTTGCGGAAACACCATGTGCGAATAATTTCTCAACTAAGAGAATGGTTCTGAAAAGAACCAGAGGTATAAACTCGACGTTCCGGTCAGTATGCTCTGACCGTCTTCAGGAGAGTGCCTAAACTCTAAGAAAGTGAATACTTAAGTGGCAAAGGGGAAATCGTGGCTACGCTACGTTGATGACACCTTCGTAGTGTGGCCCCATGGCCCGGACACACTCCAAGACTTCCTCCAGTACCTCAACAAGCAACACACCAGCATCAGCTTCACCATGGAACAAGAACACCACGGCACCATTCCTTTCCTGGACGTCAAGATCTCCAGGAATCCGGATGGCACCCTGGGACACAGCGTCTACAGGAAACCCACCCACACCGACCGCTATCTCCACCAGCGGTCGTTCCATCACCCCAGCATCAAGTCATCGGTCAACCGCACCCTAGTACAGAGAGCCTTCGAGGTCTGCGACCAAGACAAACTCAAGCGTGAACTCAAGCACATCCAGACGTCACTACAACGGAACGGCTACAAACCCCACCGCATCAAGATCAGCAAACCTGACCAACGGGTCCCCTATACCCAAGGTCCTCCCACTGTATCTCCCTCAGTCACTCTTCCTTACATAGGTCCAGCTTCTCATCATCTGCAACGCATCCTCCGACAAGCCGGCGTCAAGGTGTACCACTCATCTGGCAACAAGCTCCAAGGCAGCCTCCATACGCACAAGGACAAGCAGGACTCCTCATCCAAGCCGGGAGTCTACCGCATTCCATGCGAATGCGGCAAAGTCTACATCGGCGAAACTGGTCGGAACCTTCCCACTAGGCTCAAGGAACACAGAGCACATGGACGGCGAGGGGATTTTGACAAATCGGCCATTGTCAAACATTCCCACTTCAACGACCACAAAGTTGATTGGGATGCGGCCGAACTCATCGCACCGATCCAGTTCTGGCATCCAAGACGCATACGGGAAGCCATCGAGATCCGCAAGCACAACACAGTTCCGCAAGACATCGGGTTTCACCTCAACGACATCTGGCTCCCACTTCTCCAGACTGATGGGTCTCCTATACCCTAGGTCCTCAGCTACTACCTTAGACTGATGGGTCTCCTATACCCTAGGTCCTCCCTCCACTGACACTGCAACCCTACTGTTCCACTTCAGTGGGCACTAAGCTTGCTCAGGGATCCTGTCTACTTGGCATCCTCACAGGATGCAACTTCACAGGATGCAACTTGCACAGGATGCAACTTCACACTCCATTGATTTCCCCTTTGCCACTTAAGTATTCACTTTCTTAGAGTTTAGGCACTCTCCTGAAGACGGTCAGAGCATACTGACCGGAACGTCGAGTTTATACCTCTGGTTCTTTTCAGAACCATTCTCTTAGTTGAGAAATTATTCGCACATGGTGTTTCCGCAAACCTTTCATTGTCCAATAATTGCTTTTGATATAGGATAGGACTAAAAAATTGGAAAATCGACGGGAACACTTGAAGAAAAAATTACATAGGCCTACGATTTAGTAAAGAAAATACAGTTAATTGATTGCGAATTCAATCCAAGTTCAAGTCACTTTTATGTAAAGACAATAATTCAAGAAAACAAATTTGCACTGATTTAAAATTACGGCCCATTATTGACTGTGATATACAAGACAATATACTTGAAATTCGACAGAAACCGTTGAAGAAAAAAAATAATACAACAAAAACGAAGAGGACATGTGTATAAGAGTACTCCCGTACATTTACCGACATCAATAACCAAAAGAAGGCGCGCTACACAAGTACTGGTCACCACCGTAAAGACTTCATCAACGTGGATCACGATCTGCCCAAACGAAGTCGGCATCAAAGTTGAAAACAGACTTTGTGGAAACGATAACTCAAGAACAAAACAATGCACTGTGTTGAAATTTCGTTCAATAATTTTTAAGGATATCGGAAGACAAGTGGTTTGAAAATCGACGGGAACCATTAAAAAAAAAAATCAATATGATCTAAGGAAATATACAGTGTACTAATCGCGAAAAATTTGATGCGAATTCGAGTCAATTTTATTGGAACAAAAAAAACAGCACTCATTGTGGAGACGATAACTCAAGAACAACGCAGTGCACTGAATTGAAATTTCGTTCAATAATTGTTTGAGATATAGGACACAAATGCTTTGAAAATCGACGGGAACCATCAAAGAATAAATTTAATATGATTTCAAGAAATACAACGCACTAATCGCGAAATATTCGATTCGAATTCGAGTCACTTTTGACAAAAATAAAGCACTCTTTGTGGAGACCAGGAGACCGTAACTCGAGAAAAACACATTGCACTGATTTGAAATTGCGTCCCATAATTGACTGTGACACTGAAATTCGACAGAAACCGTTGAAGAAAAAAATTAAAGAACAAAAACAAAAACTACAGTGTGTATAAGGAGGGCTTTCCCGTACATTTTACAAACATCAATGTCTTCCAAAAGAGGGCGCGCTACATAAATACTGGTCACCACCTTAAAGACTTCTGTCAACGTGGATCACGATCTGCCCAAACGAAGTCGGCATTAAGTGAACAAAAATAAAACACAATCAGCTGGCCAAGCTTAATTCAATGGTCATTTAAGTTTTGAGATGTCCAGCTGGACTATGCACAAGTGAGGCAAATGTTCTGTTTCGACTGTGAGTACAGCCTATCGCCAAGTTTTTCTCAATGTTGACACAAGACCGTGACTGTTGAGGTAGAGAAAAACAATATTTTGTCTCATGCTTGTCTATTTTTCATCACTAGTTATCTGACTAGAATTCAATTCAATGCGTCACTTAATTTTTGAGATAGCGTGTCCAGCTGGACTGTCGTTTCTGTGCAAAAGTGAGGCAAATTTTCTGTTTGGACTGCGACTGCGCAGCCGTATCGTCAATTTTTTGGTATATTCTGTTTAATATTTTCTAACTCCGAGTCATTTTATTTTATTTTTTCAAGTTATCAAAGAAAAACGAATAACGATTCCCACAAGTGGGAATCGTTATTCGTTTTCCGTTTTGCTGTCGAGAATGGATTTTGGATTCGAAGTCCGTTATTCGTTTTTCTTTTTGCTTAGGAAATGGGAATTGGTTTTGTTATCCGTTTTTCTTTTTGCTTAGGAATTGGGGAAGTGGGTTTCGTTATCCGTTTTTCTTTTTGCTTAGTTAATGCGGAATTAATGGGTTATGAGATTGTCACTTGACACCGTTAATTGTGAAGGGCGCCGCCTGACGTTGTTTGATGATATCCCCCCCCCCCTCCCCCAAAAAAGTCCAATCCTATCGAGAAAGGAATTGGGATTTCTCAATGCATGATTGGAACATGTGGACTTCGCAACTTCGTCCCCAGGGTTATCTTTATTTTGTAACTTTCTTTCCCGTATTAAGTACCTGTCAGTGCGTACCGCTCAACACTACGTAAACGAGATTGTATTTGACACCGTTAATTGTGAAGAGCGCCACCTATTGTTTGGCTATCCCGAGATGGAATGTATGTCATGTAATGATGTATGTGGCGGAAGGCTAGGCCTGTACACTAGGCATGTCAGGTAAGTCGGGACTATTTACTTCAATACTTGTCAAAATTCAACTTCCTTAAAAATATATACAGAGCATTATTTCCCTTTGACATAAAGCATGTGTTTCCTTTGACATGCAGCCATCCAGAATAACCTGAGAGATCTCTGAAAGGCTCGATGAAATGAATTGGACACTGAAACATATATTAAAATAATCAGGCCAACCAAGAACCAAACGTGTGGTGTTTTCTATTAGATATAAAAAAAAAAAAACAACTGTGTGGTAGGGTAGGTAAAAATCTGTTTTGGGGGTTTGACATTTCTATAGCCTAAAAATATAAGGTGGGATGATAGTCATCAAAATTTACTTTTTTTCTCTATTTTGCATGCATTAGTTAACATGTGAATCATTCTGCACTTCTGACCAACTTACACAAAAATAAAAATAAAGTTTATAGTTTTCACTATAGAAGGGGGGGTGCTTGAGCGCAAGGAGGAGATTCTACCTTCTCTTTGAGCATGGTGACTTCTTCCTTGCTGATCTTCCAAGGAAACTTCTCCGTGGTCTCCAGGCTGCTTCCTCATCCAGCATCCACGGTTTGGAGAGCTCCTTGATGATTGTGCTGGTCTTGATCTTACCCAACCCACCAATCTAGACGGAAACCAATCAGGAAGGAAAATTTGAAAGCATTTTGGTCTGAATAAATTGTGTCCAGGTCTTGGAAAAGACCAACGTGAGTGCTGAAAAAAGCGAAAAACCTGGACAAATCTGGTTTAATGATCTTGTTATACATTTTGCCACTTTGACTTAATTTTTTTAAGACCTGTTTGCATTTTACTCAAACTGTTCATCAAAATTCATTCCGCAAAGTCTTCTTCAAGTATACTCAACTGTGAGTTCACATTTCGGTACTCAAAATACTCATCCAAATATTCATTAAAATAATTCACCAGGGGTACACAAGACTTGTAGAAAGGTACTCAACTAATACAAAACCTCAGGATTCATTGAAAACAAATGAATCGACTCATAAAGTAGTACTCAGTAAAAAGTAGTCTACTTGTCAAAAAAAATGCTCAACTCATACTCGACTTATCGCAGACTGCTTCACTCGTCAAGCAGACTCGACTTAAAAGACCGAAGTTATCCTCAAACAGTACCTCAATCCATTTAAAACTGGTGTTCCAGAGTCCCTAACTTAACTCAACTAAACTCAACTTAAATAGATTCAAGTTTCAAACACAGGCAAAGTTCTTGTATTCATTTTCCATTGATTAGATGCTGGTGTCATTCTGAACGACTGCAACACTCAATCTTTGGACGACTTTCATACTAGTTGCTCCTCAATGTTTCAAACGTCAAACTTAATTCAACTCTTTGGAATAATTTAGTTCGGCACTTCTCTGAATGCTAGTCTGAAACGCGTGTTGTTGTCAAAAGGTACACAACTCATCAAAATGCAGAAAACTTGAGCTATCCACGCATACTCAGGTCTGACCCTGATCCCCCACCCATTTCTCGTGAGAGTCTTTCAGAAGCTCCATCAAATGTGTACTCTGCTCATGAAGGAGACTATAACCAGCTTGGCTCGGAGGGTGTTTTTTTTAGAAGGAAATTATGGAGGAGACTAACCATCTTAGCTCGGAGGATATTTTTTAGAAGGGTATTATTTAGAAGGGTATTAATGAGGAAACTAACCATATTGGCTTGGAGGATATTTTTAGGAGGGAATTACTGAGGGGACTAACCACCTTGGCAAGGAGGATATTTTTTAGCAGGTCTCCCCTGCTTCCTCATCCAGCATCCAGGGTTAATTTGTTCAGCTCCTTAAACCGTCTCACCCCCGGGCGGGGGGGGGGGGAGTTCAATCTGCGTTGAGACTAACAAAATGTGTCGCTGAAATTTGGAACAGCATTGAAACGCTAATATGGCCTGATATGTGTCGAGGTGTCCCAAGGCGTGCAGTTTTCTAATGTCCCCTTACTTGTAAGGGGCAACACCGCACGGGCCACAAAATCCTCCGAAACCGCGTTCGCTGATGAGGGCCTGATGTACGTGGGGAGCCGTCGACAGTCCAATTTCAACGTGACACACACTGAAAACACAGCGCGGTGCACGGCCGTACGGTGCTCACACGATCAAAGGACCGCTGAAATATTGAATCTTTCTGGAAGTCAAATTATGCATAATGATGCAGCGTGAACCATGCACAAAAATGTCCATTTACCAGGTTCACGCCGTGTGCGCTTCGTGTATGCTTTGTGCGCGCATCCAGGACAGCTAAATTTGTTCTGATGGCTGTTTCTACCATGTCAATATTTGTTGTTTGTCTGATGTATTTTAACAAATGATTGAATTTACGAGTTTCCGAATGTCTCAGCGATTCCGTTTTGATGCTGGCCCAAAGCTGGCCCAACGTCGGCGCAGCGTCTACAGAAACACCGATATGGCCTGAAATGTGGCGAGTTCAATGCTGTTTTCTAATGTGAGGGATATAGCACCGCACGGGCCACAAAATCCCCTCAAACCGCGTTCACTGAGGGGTTGATGCGGTGCAATGTGTAGACCGCTCACCGTGCGTTATTCAATGGGAACGTGAAAACAGCGCGGTGTGAAGCGGGTGAAACGGCCACAATGCCGATGTTTCTGGATGGCCAATTTATTCAAAGCAATGCAGCGTGAACCATGCACGAAAAACTTCACTTGCAAGGTTCACGCTCTGTGCGTTTTGTATGCGTAGGATCAGCTAACAATTTGTTCCAATTCACTGTTTCTGTATGGTATTTGTCTATTTGTGCAGCAAGAGTTCACAAATACTTCCTTTTTACAGGTTTCCGAATTTCTCAGTGAATTGGCTTTATTGATGGGCCCACCTATGAACTGATATTTGGTGCGGTTTAAGCAGAGGCCACCGTGCAGTT